TTATGCTCTCCCTGACCTTTTCTGCCCATTGTGACTGGTCTAAATGTTGATTGCATGCTAAGTTATAGAATGTTTCTGAAAAACAAAGCAGTACTCGAATGAGAGCTTGCCTGGAAGCTCATAAAATCCACTCTAAGCCTATAAAACATATTTAGGTGGGCCTAGTCCACACTTGATAAAAGGGAGGGTTGTATGCTACACTGCATATTTGTGTAACTGCATATAATTGCATTTAACTGTGTTAATGTCTGGCTCCTTTAAAAGTTTTTTTTTAATCTGAATGCAGGAGAAACAGGGTACTTATGTCACTCCTGGTATAGGATAGCACACTGCTTTATAAGCATATGCTTGCTGTTTGGATAGAAAAAAGGAATTCAAGAGCCCTAATTCTTGCCTGCTCTGAAAACAAGTTCACAAATAAACATTTCCTTCTACAGAAAAGAACAATAATATGGAAAAATCTTGCTGCTTAATTTTATGTAATTATGAAGTAGTAGAGCTGTTTGCCAATAGTCTTATTGAAACACTGTATGGATGAATAGTACAATAACATTAGAGAGAACCTTTTTTCCCTTTACCACTAGCTGCAGTCTGGAGAAGTTAATTGTTACAAGAATTTAGCCTGTGGAGGACTCTTAAAGCAAATTAGAGAGCAGAGAGGGATCTTCAGGGAAAAAATGAAACAAAGTTAACAGTCTATGGCTACTTAGTTCCAAAAAAAGGACAAATAATGGTATAATGTCACTTTTCAATCTAATTCACCAAATTAAATACCAGAGGATTAGGAAATTACAGCTGTTTCTACAACTGTAGTGGCTCAGCTGTTCTGGTACATTTTATGGGAAGGTTTCTGGCAATTTAAAAACAACCCAATGCAACAGCTGAGCAGGCTCTAGTTTAAATACAAGAGTGGTGATATTTTTCATGTGTCTTTTTCTGATGCTATTTCAAAACAAACTCAAAATTTCTGCAAACTAAACTGACACTTATTTGATCAATATTATTGCAGAAACTACCATTCTAGCAAATGGGTATCATATCTTTTGTTTAAGAAGCTGAGATGTGGTTAATTAATGAAAACCTTCCAGGAGTTATTTCAAATCTTAAGGAAGATGGAATTTCTTACATAATTGTCAATCATAATAACTATACTTCTGTTCTCTTTTTGCAATGCACTATCTCCTAGGCACCTTAGATAGCATCAATGAAAAAGGTTGGAAGGGTTCATTTTATTATATTTCCAGGCAGGTAACAATGGTACTATTTAAATAAATAAGCCATACTCATTGTGTCTGATGAAGCAGAACTTTATGGCCATAAAGTGTGTCATCTATACTAAAACCTAGCTTTCTTTTTAAATTTTGATCTTTTTAGAATACAAAACAATTTGTAAAATTGGTGAGGGGACATTTTCTGATGTTCTGAAGGTTCAGAACCTGAAAGATGGACAATATTATGCATGTAAACAAATGAAGCAACATTTTGAAAGGTAAGTCCAGCTGCCTGTTGAATTTACAGGTTTTTTACTTCCAACATTTAAGCATTTTATTTAACTTTCATTATCAAAATTGATTTAAATGCATTAAGAGTATTTACAAATGCAATGTTAAAAAATTGAGAGAAAGTATCACCTTTGAGTCTTGATAATTGGCTTAACTAACATGAGTATCAAAACTTGGCTGCCTTCTGCCTGATGAACAGCCAGCAACCATTTCATCCTGCACAAATCTACAGATCTTGCCACTGTTGGAGATAATGCAGTTTTTGATCAGATATAGAGCTTTCTCTATGATGGCATCCTGCTTTTTAAACTCTTTGAGGTGCAGCTACTTCTAAAATGTGAGGCATTATATAAGATTTCCCATAAAGCATGAGAGTGTTTTATGGGAAAGGTCTTTTTTGCACTAGTAAAAGCACCTTGGAGAATATGGCTCAATCCACCGAAGGCACACAGCAACTTAAAAGTGGAAGTCAGGCTTATTTGAGGGGTGGGATGATTTACATAACTATAACCTATGCATTATAGTCTAATTGATTCACTTTTTACACTGTATTTTAGTATTGACCATGTGAACAATCTGAGAGAAATACAAGCATTAAGGCGGCTGAATCCACACCCAAATATCCTTACTTTGCATGAAGTGATTTTGTAAGTGCTGCATGCTTTCTTTATTAAATTTATATCCCATCTTTTTTCTTACAAAGAATTCAAAGTAGCTCACATCATTCTCCTCTGCTCTCAGTCTTATCCCCACAACAACAACCCTCTGAAATAGGTTGGACTGAGAAATCTATGACTAACTTAAAGTCACCCAGTTGGTTCCATGGCTGAGCAGGGACTATCCGGATCACCTGAGACCCAGTCCTGTGCCCTTAACCACTATACTACACTGCTTCTCTTTCTGTGTCCTATTCCCTACTAGATAATGCAGAGATCCTCAATCATTATATATGTGCCAGGCAAGTCTTAATTTGAATAAAATTGCTTTCAGGCAAGAGCCCTCCTAGTTTCTTGTAGAATTGGGAAATTCTGTCTTTTGTTGTCCCTCTACTCCCAGGATGATAAAATGTATACTTGTGCTGGGAAACAGGGATGTGTGGACTACTAATTAGATTGAGTGATACACTTCACTGTCATAACTGATGCATTTATGTATTTCACTGATGCATTAGGAATCTAGATATACAGATTATAAAGAACATACTAGTTTGTTTCCATCTTCATCAAGTTCTTGATTGTACATGCAATGCCAAAATGTCAGCACCAAGAAAACAGAACCAAAAATTGGGAACATTTTATTTATTTGATGGAAGACCATGTTATGTCATTGACCCAAAGACAGCCAACAGGTAGTCAGGATTTTAAAAATAATAGTAATGTTTTGACTACAGTGATGCATTCTGTGATCATATTTTGTAACTGTGAAGTAACCTTTCATTCTCTTCATATGTTCAGGGGTTTTTTTAATGTCATGGACTTAAGTTCCTTATATAGATTTGCCAGGACTTCTCTGTTCTATTTACAATTTATCTGCTCCTGAAATGAAAACTTTGTAATGGAGTTGTAAAAGATGTTTATACTTAAAAAGAAGAACATTTGAGTGAGCACCATAATATTACAAATTATTCCTAACCTCAGACAAAACTCTCTAATTTACAGGGTCTAACCAGTTAGTAGTCCAAGCCAGACTAGCTTCCCCATGAAGAAAGGCTATAGCTTGTTGGTTAGAAAATGCAGAAGGCCCCAGTTTAATCCCTAACTCTGCCAATTTATTTATTTATTTGGAATTCTTGTATGCCGCCCCATTCGCATAAGCCTCGGGGCAGCTTCCAACACATAAATAAATATCAATACAAATACAAAAAAACAGGAAACATCCTGGCATAATAATTTAAAACCAATAAATAAATCAGCAATTATTAAAATAATATTAAATAAAAAGGTCTTGGCCTGGCGCTGAAAAACAAATGATGGCACCAGGCGGACCTCTCTGGGGAGCGCATTCCATAAGTGGGGCGCCACCACAGAGAAGGCCCTCCTCCAGGTACTCACCCTCCTAATATATTTCACGGAGGGTTCCCAGAAAAGGGCCTCTGCTGCCGATCTCAAGGGGTGAGAGGGCACATATGGATGCAGGCGCTCCTTTAGATAACCAGGTCCCAAGCCATTAAGGGCTTTATTGGTGATAATCAGCACCTTGAATTGGGCCCAGACTTTGATGGGGAGCCAGTGAAGCTGACGAAGGACTGGGGTTATATGAGAACAACGCCCAGTCCCTGTCAGCAACCTTGGCGCTCTATTTTCCACCATCTGAAGTATCCGGACCATCTTCAAGGGCAGCCCCACGTAGAGCGCGTTACAGAAGTCTAATTGGGAAGTTACCAATGCATGTGTCACTGTCGCCAGGCAATCGTTCTCCAGGTAGGGACGCAGCTGATGGATCAGCCGAAGCTGAAGGAAAGCACTCCTTGCCACTGCTGTCACTTGAGCTTCCAATGACAGCTCTGGGTCGAGGAGCACTCCCAAGCTGCAGACCCTGTCCTTAAGAGGGAGTGCTACCCCATTCAGAACAAGGTCCAGGTCCCCTACCCTGAAGCCCGACCCACCTACCAACAGGACCTCTGTCTTGTCTGGATTGAGCTTCAGTTTATTGGCCCTCATCCAGCCCATTACCTCGGCCAGGCACCGGTTCAGCACAGCCACTGCCTCACCTGGATTGGTGGAAAACGAGAGGTAGAGCTGGGTGTCATCAGAGTACTGATGGTCACCTCCTAATGACCTCTCCCAGTGGTTTCATATAGATGTTAAATAGCAAGGGGGACAAAATGGATCCCTGCAGAACTCCATGGCATAGCTGCCATGGCGCAGAGCCATAGTCCCCCAGCACCACCTTCTGGAATCAGCCATTGAGATAGGAGAGGAACCACTGCAAAGCAGTGCCTCCTGCTCCCAATCCCACTAGCCTATCCAGAAGGATACCATGGTTGATGGTATCAAAAACCGCTGAGAGGTCCAGGAGGACCAACAGGGATGCGCTCCCCCTGTCTCTCTCCCTGCACAGGTCATCATACAGGGTGACCAAGGCAGATTCAGTACCATACCCAGGTCTGAAGCCAGACTGAAATGGGTCCAGATAATCAGTTTCCTCCAAGAGTGCTTGGAGTTGTCCTGCCACCACCCGCTCTAACACCTTGCCCAGAAACAGGATGTTGGCCACCGGTCTATAATTAGTGGCCATCTCTGGATCCAGGGATGCCTTCTTTAGGACTGGACGGACTACCGTCTCCTTTAGAGGGGCAGGTACCCGGCTGTCCCTCAGAGAGGCGTTGACAACCTCCAAGATCCAGGCCCCTATCCCGTGCTTGGCTTTGTTAAGTAGCCATGATGCGCAAGGGTCCAATTAAGGTTCCCAGGTAGAGAGAGATCCCTATCTGAGGGCTTGGAGCGCTCCTATCAGTTCAAGCAGATAATATTGGGTTATATGACCTCTTAAGCTGATTCAGTACAAGGTGACTCCATATGTTCAAACCATTGGTGATAATTAGAGAATTTCTGCTTATGGTACACTGCTGTCAGTAAATTAAGTTGATAGCAGAATATTTAGCATTCATGGTGTTGCTTTACAAAAACAAGTACCAGTTGTAACTAAATTGTTTTATCTTCAGATAGAACATGCATTTATTTTTGCATTTTTCATTTACATGGCGCTCTGTAGATGTGTTTTGACTCCAGAATAACTGTTTATTTTTACTGCATTTACAGTATCTTTTCACACTGACTTAAATGTCTTCAGAGGCTGATTTTAAAAAATTAACAAGCTCCTAGACTGGAAAACTGTCATGTAAATTAATACCATAATCATAAATCCAGCCTTTATCTCTCATTCTCCAGATGATTACACAAGTTACTCATCTGATTTCTTTCATATAAATTAAAGCAAACTTTTTCCTTTAGTGACAAGAAAGCTGGTGCTGTTGCATTAATATGTGAACTTATGGACATGAATATCTATGAACTGATCAAAGGTATGTAGATTATGCCAACGCTGGAAAAATATTTTTCAGGTGCCATTAATTCATTTATGCAAAATCTAGAGGCATGTTGCATCTGAGCAAAAAGATTAAGTGGAGCTTGCTGGAATCTTAAACAACAAATGGTATTGCCCTGTGATTGCGGAAAAATATTGCATAGACAGTGGGCAGGTTCCCATGACAGGCTAAGTCAGGCTGTTGGCACCTGTCATAGAAGCCACCCATGGTGAGCCGAGCAGAGGCTAGCTGTATCAAGGCTAGGATGCACCATGCCATTCCATCCTCCTCCTCAGTCCTCCTGAGGGAATCCCATGGAAGACTGCAGGAGCACTGAGCTTCCTGCCTCCTTGTGGGAGACTCAGTGGCAGGAGGAGAGCAAGGATTGCTGATAGCCCTCACCCCAGTTTGCAAGTAGGCCTTGTAATCCATGCAGTGGGCTGTTGGCACTACTGCCAATCTCATCAAAGGCAGATTGCTCAGGATGCCCTGCTTGGACCAGTAGCAGCACCTTCCCATCATGCAACTACTGTTGGCAGTGGCTCCCCATCTAGGGGAGCTGAGCTGTACTTTGCTCAGCTTACTTTTGAGGAGTCCAAGCAGAGGCACCCACCCACCCTGTCAAGGAGTGGCACCAGACTTGGCAGAGAGAATTGAGATATGCTCTGCTTAGCCTCCTCTAAAGGAAAGCTTCTGACAGACACTGCCAACTGCTGCTTGGGCACCTTAGGGTCAGTTGTCAGCAGTGTTTGTCTGGCCACCACTTGGCTAGAGTAGCAGGGATTTCTTTCCAGTCTTGCCAAGAAGTTCTGCAGCAGGTAAAGATGACATGGTAAGCCCAGGCATGGCTACTAAATCCTACAATAATCCATTGTATGTTGGGTGGCTTATAAGCATGGCGAGCCTCCCTGGCTTATAAGCTGTGGGGGTGTTATTGAGAGTGGTGTTATTGGAGGTAAATGATTACCTTTACAATACGTGACAACAGAGAAAGATTTTGGAGTGCAGTCCTAGCCAGATCAGGAATCCCTGGAGTTGTGTGTAGTGATGTCAGGCAGAAAATTTTACTTCCTATATTTTTCATGAAGAAATGCCCAGACCATGCAAATCTGTGTTTTTTCCATGATTTTCCAGTCTGTTGTACAGCTGTCAATCAGGTTAGATGGACTAAATATAGGACATGAAATTTTATATTATTCTTCTAAGGGAAGCATTGGCAAACCCTAGTGCTCAGTTGCCCATGGGTGAATGAAAAAATAAGGCATGACATATAGTCCCAGTTGGTCTGGACAAGGCTTACACATAGCATATTTGCCCTCTATTGCTAACATTCTTTAATAGCAAGTTGAAGTGAAACTGAAACTAAGGCTGTGATTATTATTTGTTTCCCTTTCCTCAGAGATGTACCTCATTTCTTTTCTCGAGCTTGGGAAGTTAGAAGAGTTTGCGTAAGATTTGTTAGTCATCTAGAACTTGTGGTTAGGGTTAGATCCAAACACAAAAAGACAAGTGTGTGGCATCCCCCCAGAAAAAACACTGAAGGGAGAAAGACTGTTGCTACATACAAATATTGTAGGCAAGAATATGTTAATGCAATAAGAATAAATATTTATTTATTTATTTATTTATTTATAGCTTTTATATACCATCCAGCTACTAGCGTCTTGGGACGGTCTTACAGTAAAAGCAGCATAAAATGAAATGAAGCACAGCATCCATATAATTCCAATAAGATAAAACCCACATTACAACCTAATCAAACATTAAAATAATGGGAAAATAAAAAGGTTTTAATCTAGTGCTGAAAAGAATAGAGTGTTGGTGCCAGGCAAAGCTCTCTGGGGAGCTGTCCTGAAAAATACCAGATGCAAGTAGGAAACCAATGTAAAGAAGAGGTAGAACTCACTATTTAGAGCAGAAACCTCATCACTGGTTGTAGACCAAAACATCTGGAGGCCATCAGCTTAGGCTTGGGGAAGGTTGCCATATAACAAGCTCCTGATGTCCACGCAACAGCAGAAGCTTCTCCCACACTGTCCTTTTATCATCCCATAGCAAAGTCACCTTTGGGAGTGCAAGTCTGTATGTGTCATGTCAGGACCGACACACCAGTTCAAGAGGCTTCTTATTAGATGCCCTGTGCAGTAGGATCATTCTAACCCCTAAATCCCCACATTTTTCCTGCTGACACTTGAAGCTGATGGGCACATCCCTCATGGCCCATTTTCAGTGCTCCATACTGAAAGAGGTTGCCCCATAGTGTAGTTCCCTGCTCAGTGCTGCCTTTACCTGTAGTTTATCACAACTCTGGTTGACCTTAGCTGTGGATAAGGAGTGCTTCCAGGTACTGGGCTGCGGTCACAAATGATGAAAAGACCTTGTGCAGCTGTTCAGCCCTTTATTATTTTTTTCTGCTAAGAAAAAAAGCTGAAAAAAGAGGTGGGGAAATATGGGAGGGCTACAAGTTGAAGATTACATCATCTCGCCCCTCTGTAAAATTCCATGAATGTGGCAAAAGTCTCTGGAAGCACCCAAGAATAGCACCATGGTGTTTCTTAACTACAGGAGAGAACAGGAGAATTTGCACTCTGGAGGAGTACAGATTCTTGAGGCAGGCTCCTGATCTCTACACTGCAGTTAAGACAGAGCCCATGTTATATTTGAACTATCCTAGTGTGTGAAGCAGTTCTTTGTACCCCATGGGAAAAAATCAACTGTCTTTTGGCTTTAACAAAGGCCTTCTCCAAGGCTTGCAATGTGACCAAAGCTAATAAAACCACAAAACATAATTAAGATGCCAGGAAATATGGGATGTCAACATTTCAACATCATAATTAGGCCCCATTGGATGTCAGATGCAATAAATATTTTTATTGCTTGCCTAAAAGCTGTTGGGAATGAGACCAAACTCATTGACTTCAGGAAGGAATTTCAGAATGGGGGTCCTGCCACAGAAACAGTCCTGTTGTTTGTTCCCAACAACTGGGTGGTGGGATATAAAACAGAACCACTGAAGATGACCGTAACGTATGGGCTCAATCATATAGAAGGCAGTGCCCCAAGCAATGCAATGCTTTATAGGTAAGATACAACACCCGGAATTGAGCCTGGAAACGAATTTGAGACCAGTACAATCTGTAAAACTGGTGTAAATGGTGTGAAATGAACAGTATCTTTCTGATGAGCACATTGGAAAGCACTCCTGCTGCTATATTTTATACCAGAACATTCTTCAAGGGCAGTCCTGTGTAGACCTGCAGTACTCTCTCTGGCAGCAAGCAAGGCATGTATCACTGTAGCAAGTTCTGTGCTCTCTAGGAGGAGCGCATCTGGCACGCAGCTCAAGCTGAGTAAAGGTACTCCTGGCCACAACAGTCACCTGGACATCCAGAAAAGCAGCTTCCCAGAGCTCATAGGTAGAACATTGTATAGATGTATATAAAGATTAGTTAAGTGGCAGAAGTGACTGCAAGCTCTCCATCTTAAAGTGACCTTTGTGTAAAGCTATACCACACTTTTATTTCACTATTCCAAATTCTAGGGAGGAAAAAACCATTGCCTGAAAAGAGAATAATGAGTTATATGTACCAGTTATGCAAGTCTCTTGATCACATGCACAGGTAGGACAGATTCCTTTTGTGTAATTTATTTAATTGGTCTATTCATACCTAAGGTGGCTGTTACAAGCACATACCTATAATGACTTTTCTCTTCTAGCTGAGTTTTTCCTCACCACACAGAAAGCTTTGCTGGTGTACCTTCTGACTTTCAGGAATGGCTTTTCAGGAGTGGGTGAGGAGCTGTGCTGGAAATGGAGGAGGGGACTAAAACTCCCTAATGCGCACAGGGCTTTCTGCATTCCAGCCTTAGTGTTTACATGCTTACCTTTTCCTGAATTCCTTTCTTGATGCAGGAATGGAATATTTCACAGAGATGTGAAACCAGAAAACATATTAATAAAGGTAAGAAGTCTTACTGTAGCATGAAAACATGCAGCTTCCATTCCAAAACTCGTATGAATAGTGGTATTGAATTGATGCAAAATCATTGAGACTATTCATTCCTGTTCTAGGGCTGGAGTTTAGAAATGCATTTTGCTGCTCAAGGAGGAAGTGCACTGTACAGTTTCGATGAGTTAGATTCTTGATTTAAATAAGTATTATCTTTATTTCTTTTCTGACTAGTTGCTGAACTATATTCTGTCACCATTGGCAAAATGTGCCAAGCCATCTTTTACTACCTGATCAGTCTCTTTAAACGGCTTTCTCCTGAGTACCTTCAAAGAGTGACTCTCTCTCTTCCTCAAGCCCACTTTCACACCTCTTCCACAGACAACAACCCACTGAAACAATGGACCATTTTAATGAATTATGACCAGTTCTAAATAGTTTTTAAAATGGGTCAGATTCCCCTCTGCCTCAGATTAAACACTTGAAATGGACATTACAGGCCACTTTAAAACAACCATCATTACAGTGGTTGATGTCTTAAAAGTTTTAGATTTGCTTTTTGGTAACTTCTCATTTGAGATATACACTTTATCTAATTGCAGCAAGATCTTCTGAAACTAGGAGATTTTGGATCCTGTAGGAGTATACATTCCAAACAGCCATATACAGAATACATATCCACACGGTGGTACAGGGCACCAGAATGTCTTCTCACAGATGGCTACTACAGTTACAAAATGGACATATGGAGTGCTGGATGCGTCTTTTATGAAATTGCAAGGTACATTATGTATCTGAAAGGAATTGATAGTCTGCCTTGTGTAAAAGCACAGACTTATTTAAAAACTTATTAAGGCTACGCTTGGGCAGATGGGATGTGATGCTGGGGAGAGGTTGAAATTTGGTGGCAGAGCACATGCTTCTATCTCTAGTATAGGCAGTTAACGCCATCTTGGGTAACAGCACTGGAGAAAGTCTTGAGGACCTTGGAGAGCTGTTGCCAATCACGAAACTTTATTGAGCTAGACAGCCCAATGAACCCTGACTCCACAAGACAGCTTCCTGATGTGTTTGACACTTTTTGCAGTTAAACAGCACACTCTTACCTGAAATCAGTACTGCAACTAAGGAGTCTGTGATGCAGCATGGGGTGGCTTCAGACAGGGTGTCATCTAAAGGTATATGGTCCAGCAGCCTTGCAGCATCTTAGCCTGTCTGGGTCTAGGACCTGGAAAAGATACCACTGAGGAACCACTGAAGGCACATTTCCTTTGCTTCTTTGGAAGAAAGGAGGGATATAGATTAACATGCCTGCTTAACTGATCTCTCTAGATTGAGGGTGGGCACACGTAAGGTTTGCAGGATCAATTTTTTGTTTATTTTAGGAGACTCTTGACATCTACCAACTAGAGCCAGGTGACAGTGGCTCAGGAGTGTGGATTAAGGCCACTGAGCACATGGTTAAGCCAAGGCAGAAATCCTCCCTGGTTGTCTCCTCCTCACCCATCCATCCCCGGTTCCTTTCTTTCAGCTGCCAAATTGGAATGGGTTGGCAAGGGAGGAGGCATTTCAGCAACTGGGAAAACTTGTTAACCTGCTGGAGATAACGCAGTTTTTCTAGGAGATGAGAATTGACCTTCTGCCTGCCTCTGCTCTAGATTGTAGCCTTTAACACGAGAGGCTCCATCATTTGCCAATAAAACCTTTGTGTACTTCAGTAGCTACGAACTAAATTGTTACTGCCCTTATTCACTGTATGATGCTTTCCTTTACTGTAGTTATCCATTTGAGCTCATTTTCATTTTATAAAATGCTGAGCAAAAAGACAAAGGAGTGAGCAGACTAACTACAGCATTGTCTCCTTCCTGTTAGTGCTTCTTTTTATCCCCTCGGTACATGGTGTAAAGAAAAAAAAAAAAAGATGAGTACTAGCAGTAGTGCTATTAAAGGCCACTAGACAGACAATATTATTTAAGATTGAGAATGGACAGGTTTTTTCCTCACAGTAATAAAATAAGCTCATCCTCTGGAGTCTTGATTTTCAGCATTGCCAATTCCATTCTGCATTTTGTTTCCAGTTTTCACCCACTCTTTCCTGGATCTAATGAACTGGACCAGATATCAAAAATTCATGATATTATAGGCACTCCTCCTAAGAAGATTCTTAATAAGTTCAAGCAGTAAGTATATTCTACATTTTGAGATTTAGTAGTGTATCCTTTCTATTATTTTAAGTTTGAATAAGTTGCCTTCCTTTAAAGGAGAATGTTTATGTTTTATATTAAGAAAGCTCAGTTTACAACCTGAATTAAAGAGCATAAAAGAACAAATTTTGCCTAGCCTTAGAGCGATGAGAAGAGCCTTAAGAGTGACAAGAAGGTTCTCAAAGTAGCTTCCAGATACTTGGCAGCAGGATGTACATTGGGTCATACCCAGCTAGCTTTTCCTGCTGGTGGCCTGTCAGTGGAACAGGAAAGGTTGATTGCTCCCCTCCTGCCCCATAGTATGAAAATACGGAAAATTTTTATAGGGCTATAGGGGGAAATGGGAAAAATCTTTTGAGTGGATAACATTGATTTTGCTCATGATTTTTTCATCCCTTTCTTTCTCCATAAATTTGGTTCTAACTGATATACTGTAAGTCATACATTCTTCCATATATTGGTTTAAAAAAAAAAAAAGGTATCGGGAAGAACCTCCTGAAGACACTGAGGTCAACTCTTTTGTTAATGGCTAAGATTCGGAGGCAGGAAGTCATATCTGCCATAAACTCATCAACTGTCCAGGTGGCACACTACTCTCAGGCTTGTTCCTCTGTCCACAATATGGAGGATACTGCTTCAACATACAGAATTGTACCCTTGAACACTCAATGGTGCTATAGGAATCTTGAGTACAGCAAGGTTTCTTTTGCTCTCCACCTACATGAACTGTGAAGATGGAACGTTTGGGGTTAAAAGGTTCCCTTGGGAGAATGGTGTGTACGTGTACTGATTGCAAGACAAGGTAGCTTCCCTTTCTGTTTCCTCTGCAGCATGGAAATAGACTGATTCCTCACTTTTGCATGAATGTTTATCTTCATTCAGAACATGTTTTAAGTGAATATGCTGAATATAATTTGCCTGCTTCAAGAGAAAACAATGTTTCACCAGTTCTCATCTTGATGAAGTAAATTTAAACCTTTTCTATCCTAGTCCAACTTTCCATCATCTGGGGGTGAGTTTTGGAGACTATCAGAAGAAAAGCAAGAACTTCAAGGCTTCTCTATATCAGTGTAATCTCTTCAGCAATTCCCATCTCCAGAAAGACCGATGTTCATTGTCTGTTGACAGCAGTGCATTTATTTTCTTTCCTTGGATTACTGCAGGTCAAGAGTGATGAGCTTTGATTTTCCCATCAGAAAAGGAAAAGGAATCGCTCCATTTATGCCAAATTTGTCCAATAGGAGCCTAACACTTATGTATGCAATGATACAATACGATCCTGATGAGCGAATCTGTGCCCATGAAGCACTACAGCACCCTTACTTCAGAGAGCTGAGGTGAGGCAACACAATGTGGCTCCCTGTGAGATGAATACATGTGAAGTCGAAAGGCTCATACTTAAAACGATGGCAGTTTTAGCCAACACACCAGAAGGGCACTGCCCAGGAGAAAGCCTGTCTGCAGTGTTAATCGAAACATCTGCTTACATCATGGGGCTGAACAATTAAAAGCTGCATTATAAGTCAGTGTTTAGCGTAATCAAGAAACTGATATTCTTATAATGTTTTGACTCTCCAGTTGACACAACTAAATTGCAGCCTTTATATGTGGGATTTTATCTGGCTTTGCACTGAACAGGTTGGCAGAGAAGCAAACGTTGACCATACGCAGAAAAATGAGACTAGTAGAAAACCCATTAGAAAGAGAGTCTCTCAGCTTGCGGCGTATTTCAAAGGAGGAGCAAAGGCAGGTAATCTTTAAATCAAAGACCAAGTATAAACTTACTTATGTAGCACTATATTTACTCTCTAACAGGACAGCCCTGTATCAGACTTGGTAACTTGATTGATACTCACTGGTAAGTGAAATATGTTTTGGAATTCTTGCATCAAAAGTTTCCAGGGCTTGCATGGATTTTTTTGCTTTATCCATACATTGACTGTCTAAAGTAAGAAATGTAGGTTCAGGAAGGCTTTGCTGATACATCTTGTGACACGTTTACAGACTGGAACAACACACAGTTTAATGAGATAGCCCAGCTTTAGATAAAGTATTTTAAGACTCAGGATGAGGTCCTTTTGATATCAGACAATGAAGCCCTGCAAAAAAGGTTAATTCACACACCTTTTTTGGATAATCCTTTAAGTACAATTGAATTTGCATTCAGCCTCATATAAGCTTGAAGGATCTAGTTGTGCCACCTGCAGGGCCAGGCTTAACTTCTCCCAGCACTATTTTTGGGACCACAAAATCATCCATACACCAGGTGCCAATGAACTGTGTAATTCAGAACAGAACTGGCAAACAGGAAACCTCTAATTGCAGTACAGCTTTTCTAGGATCACTTAAACAGATGGGGAAATCAGACGAGCCATGTTCACAGTATTCTCGGGGCACCAGATGTAGGATGCCAGTACCAGATTCTTTGACTGTATCCAATTCTGAGTGGAAAGAAATCAAACTGATGATCTTTGTTTGACTTACACAAAAGGTATTCCAGTTACTGCTCCAAGAAGTTTTAAAAATTAATTCCTTTTAAATCTTGTATCATCAACACAGTTAGCTAAATTGAGTCAAACACTAAGTTGAAATGCCAGGTTTTCCCCTAAAATGAAAGAATGCTAACCTTATCTACCTTAAAGAAGCATGAGCTCCGGTACAGGGCCAAGAATTAACAAGGAGCCATATATTTGGACATGCTTTGACAATACCCATAGTGATATGGTTGTCCTCATCTCTGTGCTTGTTCCTATACCAATCTATGTATGTATATATACATACTTCCCCAGCCATGTGTTTCTTCCTGGTGACATGTTCATAATGCAAAGACTATTCCTCAGAAATAATCGTTTGGGTGGAAGTGTCTGCATGCATTGACACTAGTGTGGAAGGAACTGCAGACGTGGCAACCACCAAAGCTACATAGAAGCACATAACAGGATCCAGCCATCTAATTTTAACCTACAGAACAGACTTTTCCTTCAGAACATTGAACTTGTATTTTTATTTTAAAAGAACTTTCTTAGGCAAACCCAGGAGAATCCACTGGGACATCACGGACTTCCTTATGCGGTAGAGTTGCCAAAACTGACTGTTCCTGCAGTAACCAAGTTGACTTCTTACCCTAATCCTACATTTCAGTCAGTTTTTACCCACCCAGCAACCAACAGACAAGTCCATGTGTTGCAACCTATAACATATTTTGGGACACATTGCAAGGTAATTCTGCCTTGCTTATCAGATTACATACAACTTTCTACAGCCAGATTACAGCCTGTTTTAACTTCTGTTGTCTCGTCAACAGTCTGAAAAGCAGAAGGAATTTAAGTCTCCTGTGAAGCAGTACCACTTGCCTGCTCTAGAAAGAAGAGGGGGTGGATACTGATGGACAAAGGCTCTCCTGTGCTCTCCACACGCAAAGGTGCACCAACAGCAATAGTGCCTTATCACCTCAGATGCTGCAGCAAGATGCTACAATGCTGTTACTCTAGGACTTAATTTTTCAAAGAAGCCAACTATGTAAGCATCTTTTTCATAACTTGGAATGCACTTTGATTTTTTTAAAAATTTTTCAATATACAAAAAATGTTTTCTCATAAGTGGATCATACATTCCATTGTGCTGCACAGGTAGGAATGGAATTATTAAGGTTTTTATATTAAATGCTATATTGCATTAATTTATGACATGTAAAACTGAATTTGTGTATTTTTGGTATAATCAAAGTCAATCTCCTTGGATAGTCATTAGTAGTTTCAAAATGTGTCTGGTTAGTATCTTTGGGCATTTGTTATAATTCCTGATTAGAATGTTATCTAGTTTAAAGATTTGTTTAATGAAATTATTTATGTAAATGAGCAGATTATTTCTGCATGAATTCCTAATGACCAGAAGACAGTCTTGCTGTTCTCAAACCCTTTCCCTCTAGTATGGAAGTTTGAACAATGTAATCATGTTAACAGAGGTACAGTTTGACAGTGATTTCACATTGTGCATTTGTACTAGAAGAACCAGTAATATTTAAAGGAATCTTGGGGTGGGGAGGGAGTTGTGTCCTCCAGGGACATTTTTAAAATTACTCTTTCACAGTTACCAGTAAAGATAAAATGCCATTTTTAGGATCATTTTATTACAGGATTGATCTTGAAAAGGTTTTAAGGTTAATTACACTCTCCTCTTGCAAAAAGGAAATGTACTTCCATAACATAATGTCTGTAACTAGAAACAGAGTTTCTACATTCTTAATTTTTATGGTACAACTTAATTCTTCAGAGCATGAAATGTTAATAGATTTTTCTTGATCAACACTGCTGTACCAGCTGATAGGTAGACCTCTATATCCAACAAAAGCATTAGAAGTGAAAACCTGTTATATAATTAGACTCACAGATAGAAAGAATAAATCTGTTTATAAATCAGTAACGCCACAGGAGACACAGAGATGTACAAATGTACAAAAATGACCTTACCCTCTTCGAGCAGGGTTTGGAGGCTGTGCTGGTATGTTTTGCAGAAAAGCCACAGATGTATTCAAAGGAAACATGTAATCAAAATGTAAAATTCATAGTACATAAGCACAGTATACCTTTTATAAACCCATAAGTTCTGTATTTCCTTTGCACACTGGAGAAACTATTCTTTCGGACTGAGACTTACTTGTCCAAAACCAGCATAATGTCTTCAATTCTGGGGCAAGACATTGGGCTATCCAGTGGGGGATTCTTCTGACAGATGATGCAAGATTTTTACCTATTTTTCTTCACCCTGTATTACCTCCTATGCTGTTTCAGGATGTCTCCCATCCCTCCAGAGCAGGCTTTGAGAAGAGGCAGAGATTGCAGGAGTAAGGAGACATTAATGAAAATAACCCCCCCCCCCCATCTCCAACTTTCCTTTGGCAGGAACAACCTGTGGGTGGAGTTCCATTTGTGTGGTCTGGATTTCAGCCTATAAATGCCAAAGGTTTTAATTTCCAAAAGCGAAAAATATATTCAGCAACTTCAGTTCAATCATGCCAAAGCATTTACATTTCACAAGACTTTAGCCAAATCCAGGAGGTTGGGTACAAGATCCTGGGGCAAGTTCCTGTTAAAAAATAGATACAAATCAATTTTGGGAATGAGAAATATGTTTCAAACAACAAAGGATTTTAAATAGCCTCAGCCTGATTTTCATTCTAGACATATGAAAGAATATTCGTAATTCAACAGTGAAATACTTAGCCCTGCTCCATGTTACATTCATTCTGTAAAAAAGTAGCGAGGCTCTGACTTTCCATGATCTGAAGGCTTTTTCTAGGCAGTCAGTTTGAAGAGGCTTAATCTTGACAATACTTATTTAAAAAATCCCATGGTTAAGTTTCCCACATCCATATCAAAATCAGTCCCTGGTATTTCTTGTTCAGAGGGTAGCAGGAGATGAGAAAGACTTTTCACTGCCTGATACCAGGAGGGCACTGTTCTACATAACAGATTAATACTGGGCAAGTAGTCTGACTTGGCATAAGTCAGTTTCTGATCACTCTTGAAAAAGTGATAGTAGTAAGACCTTTGCAACCCATGTGATCACATAAAATTATCCGTCTCCACTCAGCAAAAGTTCATTGTATTGCATTGGAAACTAATCCTGACATTTCTCCCATACGACACAGTTTGAATCTAATTTGCCTAGCAGTTGCTTTTTGAAAACGGGCAGCTCAGGAGCCACACACACACAGATCCTATTCTTGTCATGTTCTAGATTAGCTCCTTGCTCCTAATGCAATAAAAGTTAACTCATGAAGCTTTTGTTCACATGGGATCAGAAAAGGGCACAGTTGGTAGTTTAGGGGTGGATTGTGTGTGTTCAGAATCTGCATGTTAGCTAATTTTAGCTTCTGGTTGCTCTTTTAAAATTTCTAGTCCTTCCAGTTACAAAGCTAGGTGTAGTCTTAGGAGGCAGAGTGACTGGATTTAGTTTCCTATAGATGAGAATTGAGGTCTGCACATATCCTCATCAGCTACTTTATAATTAGCAGCAAGTAGAATCTCATGCAGAATGAACAAAAATATACAAACCTGTCTTTAAAAAAAAAAGCATTGAGTTTTAGAATGTTTGCCGCAAGGTCTAAACACCACAAGGAAGGTGTACCATGTAATATCCATCTATGCTCCAGCCATAATGAACTACAGTACCATAATTTCCAGACAGCCAATGTATGTTCTTGTTAGGAATTATGAGAGTTGCCAGGATGAGAAAGTCTAATTTAACTACTTAATAAAAACTAAGAAAAATATTTTGTAAAGGCCATTTTTCACGGTTACCTTCTAACATCTGAGAATTCCATTAGATGGGTAGAAAGAGCAGAAAGAAAGGTCTTGCCTTTGATACTCCAGCAATAATAATTCAGCAAAAGAGGTTTTTCAGGAAGGAGCAGCAGCAGACCTTGGTACAAGCATCCAACTTAACCTCCCCCATTCTGGTGCCCTACAGATGTTTTGGACTTTAGCTTATCAGCCCAGGCCAGCATGGTAAATAAAGACTGGTGGGAATTGTAGTTTAAAACATGGGAGGGCACAAAATTGGGGGAGGTTGTTCTAATTCATGGCATGAAGCTCAAATTATAATGAGCATTCAAGATAATCTGCCCTCCCAATTTGTCATTTTCTAAGAACCTGAGACCCATCACAGATCTGTTCTTATTTAGTCTATTATTGTTAAACTGTATGTCCCTAAATGCTTTTTGACTCCATTTGCAAATCATGAAGATGTTTTGGTGCACACAAAGCCACTCCCTTGTGGTTTTGCACAATTAAAACCAAGTGTCTACATGTACACAGAGAAAATACATACATTAGTAGTTACTGCACTACTTTTCCTGCTGTCAGGACTGTTCTGCAACACCCCCACAAAGAAACCCTTCCTTTACATTTCTGTTGTAAGTTTATACTCATGGTCCTTAAACCTGATTGTTAGCAAGTAAGAATCTGGTTAAGGAAACTTCTTCAGTAAGAAAGTTTCTAAAAACTAGGAATTTCCTTTCTTCTTTTCCCTGTTTAACCTCACTTTATTTGTTGGTATGCCACAGATAACCAATAAAATGAGATAGGAGTGGGTAGGTCTGTGAACACAAAGGTCTGGATCTAGAATTTGTCCCCAACAGTGGAAATGGGGATGGTGAGGAACTTGCTATGCTGGGCATTTCTCAAACAAGCTTTTGGAAAGCACAAGCAGCTGCAGGAGAATATGAGAAACAGCAGAAGTAGCTTTCTCACCTTCTTTTGACTGAATCCCTCCTCAGAAATTCCTCCTGTGGAGAGAAGCAACCATTCCATTTACATAACACAAAACCTAGGTTCAGTAGCACCGGTGTTGATTTTTTGCTTTGCAAGTTAATAATCAGAAGTATGCAAAAGTATCTCAGTGCTGCTGTTTCCCTATTTAAGACTGAAATATAAAAATTGGCCTTGATTCTATTAAAAGAACTCCTTAGGGCATGTGAAAGGGTTTACATTCAGTGCAGTACATGTTGACAATCTGCTTTTGAGACACTGTTCAAAAAAGTGATGTAGATTCTATGGTAAGAGAGCAGTGTCCTAGAAATGTAGATCTGTCTGCAAAATTCTAGATTCAAGCAGGGAGGACTTGCTGCGATAGTGTTTGACTTTAAAAGTCACACAGCACACACAGCAATATGTGACAAGCTACATTTGAAGAGCCCCAAAGCCTTGGAGCACACACATGCCGGAACATGCTCTCCAAAGTGTAGTCTTTGTGGGGCAGCATATTTGCAGGGTGGGAGAGATGTTGTTATCAGAGGCATCCAGGTCGTCCTGTTCTTTCTCAGTCATGCCTTAGAACTTGCCACCATGTTGCTTACCCAAAGAACTGGAATAGGGAGGGAAAGTGTTTTTGTCTTATAAGGAGGAAGCTAGGAAAGGCTTGATGGCTCCACCTTTGAGGTCAGAAAGAAAGCACTACTGCTATCAGGAGAAAAGTTGGTTATCAAGCAAACAGCATTTTCTTCAATGAAAAACTGGAGGGGATTCTACAATTTTTAGTGTGTTCAAAATCAGTTTAATAGGAACTAAACAAGCAGCAGTTAGATTATGTAGATTCTCAAATCTACCCTCCAACACAAGGCATTAATTTTTCTTTGAAACAGGAAAATTGCATACTTTGGCACATTATTCTTATAGTATCAGCCTATTGCATTGTGTTACAATAATTTTAAACCAACATTTAAGTGCATCTACTAGCATTAACATATGCTAAACTATGCATTCCTAGTGTATGAAAATGGCTAGTATCAATGTTGAATGACCAACATATATATATATATATATATAAACCTAGGCTTATTTTATGAATTGGTGTAATGTTTCTAACGAGTGTGGACAGAGGAAATACCTGTGTTTAGAATAAAGTGCAGGGGAATCACATTTCCTAATAAAGATAAGTCCAGTTTAATAACTGGTGAATCTGACCTGAGTGTTTTTCAAAAGGAATATATTCTACAGGGATTAAACCAGGTCCATACCAAAAATATTACATTCAAGAAGGTACATCAAAGTTGATTTAATTTAAACAGAACGTAAACAAAACTGCATATTCAAGATAGTTTAATATGTATTTTCTGAATTAGAAATATCACTTTCTTAAATGATGAAAATTACTAGTGTATTGACTGATTTCTCGCCCAATCACTTGAATTACATTATTTACACATATAATACAGATTGATTGTAGTTGAAAACATTATTAAAATAAAATGTTTTAATAGATACAAACGATCTCTTTTATTGACGACAGCTTTAGAGGGTGTCCAAACACCCATTTAAAAGTAATTCTCTACTAGCATTAAGCTATTTAAGGTGCAATCCTATACAACTTCAAGATAGGAAAAAGGCCTGCAATTCCCAGAATGCTGGAAATAGTATGCCCTTTTTCTGTCTAATGTTGCATAGGATTGTGCCTTTAAGTGCAAACAATCTTTTTAGAAAAAGCCCCAATGATTGCAGCATCCATCTTCCTGAATTACATTTGTAAAGCCAGAAAGTAATGACTTTAATTTCCCATGAGAGCATTCCAGGCTAACCATCTCTGGTTTAAAAAAAAATCAGTGCAAAAAACCTAACAGTGAAATTCTAATTTATAACACCATTAAACTTACTTGGATTTAAGAAACATTTTATTTTACATGTGTTTGTATGTATATGATTAAATTACACTGCGAATTATAAACTGGAAAAGGTTTCACTATTTTTAATTGCAATGCCAAAAGAAGCATTTTGAAGCAAAATTCTTCTTTGGGCAAGCAGCCTAAAAATATTAGCTGTAAAAAGAACTCATTACATTATTATTATTATTATTAATATTATTATTATTATTTTGTAAAACACTATGTGATTCACATAACTTCAAGTTTACATTCTGCCTTTAAGAACTGTGGTGCTCTCTGGCTGAACAGCAGCTCCTGGTTCCACTGTCATTACTTCTTGTTCTGTGTTCAAAGATTTGCTAGCAGGAGTGTGATGGCTATACTACAGTTCCACTTGGAGAATTGGCCTGGTTTTGGGATGGCAATAAACCCTGCAAACAAAGCAATTTACATTAATCCAGCAAGAGAACCCAACATTTAATATTCTAAACATTTATGTTTGTAGACTTTTAAGTTTAGTGTATTGGCAGAAACCTTGTTCAAAAGTCTTATGTTAATGATTTCTCTCTTCATCTGGTTGTTTAATACAAAGCAACTTCCAAGATGGTGGACCTGATTGTAATTCCAAGGGAGTAACGGTTGTAATATGTTGTGACAAAACAAGAAATCCTGTGATGCCTTAAAAATGAACCCCCTACCGTGCCTAAGTTTTCATGGGCCAAAGTTCATTGGATGCATGAAGCCAAAGTGAGCTCTGGTTTATAGAAGCCTATGTTACATTAACTGTCCATTTTTAAGGTCGCATGGGATTCTTGATTTTCACGTGATTAAGAGAATGTGAAAGGAATATACTGTAAGGATTATATTTTAGATTCTATCATATAAGACTTCAGAAACCTGTTGCAAACCTGTTCCATTACACTAAGAAAAGATAAGTGAGCCTACAGGTCATGTTTGCACCAGGAATTACTTTACTGGGAAGAGGTTTGTACCTCTGCCATATTTCTGGAACTCTTTGTGAAATACAGGCATACCTTAGAAATATTGCAAATTCAGTTCCAGGCCACCACCAAAAGTGAACATTGCAATAAAGCAAGTCACACACTTTTGTTGGCTTCCCAGTGCATAGCTTTTGGCCTATCTCAGCTTTCAACATGTCTTCCTTGCTAAGCTTAATCATTTCTAGCTTTTGATTTAAACTGAGACACATGCAACTCCTCCTTTTGCTTGAACACTTAGAAGTCATTGTAGGATTGTTAATTGGCCTAATTTTAATATTGTTGTATCTCAGGAAATAGGAAGGCCAGAAGAGATTGGGGAATGGTCAGTCACTGCAGCAGTCAGAACACGCACATTTATCCATTAAGTTTGCTGTCTTATATGGGTGCTGTTCATGGCACCCCAAAACAATTACAATAGTAACGTCAAAGATCACTGATCACAGATTACCATAACAAACATAATAATGAAAAAGTCTGAAATATTGTGAGAATTTCCAAATTCTGACACAGCAACACAAACTAAGCAAAATGTTGTTGGAAAAATGGCACCAAAAGACTTGCTTGATGCAGTGTTGCCACAAACCTTCTATTTGTAAAAAACACAATATCTGTGAAGCACAATAAAGCAAAGTGCCATAAAATGAGGTATGCATGTATAGTTTGCACCCATAAAATTACTCATGGGTCATTGGTTATCCCAGAAAAAAAATCTTGTTCATAAATGGATCTTCAGCTTGGTGCCTCAAACAGTAAGCTTTCAACTACCTTATATATCCTAGGCACTGCAGTCGGTTGGACAATCTTAGAAGCAGAACTCCCTGCTGTTTCTTTCTAATGACATAGTGAAGCCTTCCAATCTTAGACCCAGCCAGTAGGTCCAATGCTCCCAGGTCATTTAGTTCAGACATTGCACAGAAAATCCCAAAGAATGAGTCTCTCTCTCTCTCTCATTCACTTTCCTTCTAACAACCTTCGTGAGTAAAGCTCTTATACGCAGATATTCCCAAGCTTCGATGCAAGCTGCACTTGCACCATTTCCATTCAGTATTTTAAAACCAAGTTTTATTAAACAAGCAGGTATGTCAGATGTTCCTGGTCAGGCAATCTTTCTTCGGTGACTAGCTGAAATGAGCAAGTTTCTCAAAAACTAATAAGATCAACAAATCTGGCCAAAAAAGCCAAATCTTCAAAAATACTGCAGAGTGGTTTGATTTCTGCAATTATATTCTACCTTTGCATGTATCTGCTCACATATATACTTAACTCTCGAGTACACTAAAAGCAACAGCAAAAGGCATTTTTCTATTTTACATCTCTTTAAGGGGAAATTCCAGTCTTTCAATACTTTGATTTGCAGGTCTTTACTACCTTAGTATCAGCCAAATCAGGTTTATTAAGCTGAAGATCCAAGCCCAACTGTAATGCAGAATTATATCTTGTGAGTCTACAGGAGCTCTTTCTGGCTCTGACCCAAGGCACAAAGGAAAGACATTTCCTGCTCTTAAAAACTGGAATCTTTACAAGGAGCTCCTGCACTGAAGACAAGCCACCAGAACCTGCTCTGACATTTTCCTCTTTTTAAAACTTCTAAACCAATTTTATCTAAAAAGATTATTTCTGGTGAAGGCACAGAAAAGAGAGCTGGGCCAGGTACGCTAGAATTTGCTCCATAAAAGAGAAAACTAAGGCTGTCATACATAGGGCACACCATGAGAAGGCAAAACTCCATGGAGAAGACAATCATGCTATGGAAAATTGAAGGCAAAAGAAAAGGAAGATCCAAATATGACATGGATCAACTCCTTAAAAGAAGCCACAGCCTGGAATTTACGAAAGCTCAACATGGCTTTCCTTGTCAGACCATTGTGGAGCACTTTATTCATAAGTTCACCGTAAGTGAGACACAACTTGATGGCACAAAACATCCACATTTTAAGTCCACTAGCTAACAATTGCTTTATTAGGCCATGCACTTGCCATAATATATTATACAGTTATACACTACACTGGGTATTGTGCCTTGTAGGCCAGTACATAACTTCAATCCCAGAGACTAATAGATACTAGACAATCCAAATGAGGTGAAAATGGAGGCTATCCTCAGGGAGGGGTATTTTTTTAGACCATTTTGAATCAGAACATGTTCCA